TCATTGTGGTTCTCCTGAAAATTACTTTTTTCAACCGTCGATATCTGAACTCTTTCGCAGACTGAAATTCCTCAAGTACTGCAGTCCCTTTTGTAGGTACGGTTGTGTGGCAAAAAATCCTTGATTGGCGGAAATTTCGTGGTGGGGGAAAAACTGGTATTTGGAGTGCCGCACCAATCACAGGCTTTCAGAATAGAATAGTAATTGAAAGGCACTCGGGAGGGGCCTTTCTCCGCGGTCCGCGCGAGTTGATATACCTGGATAAATGATTTCAAAGAATTAATTCCCTCTGAGCGCATCGACGGTTGCAGAACGGAAAGAAGCAGTGCGAAGCCAGGACCAGGAGAAACTTGGGAAATACCGGTGATGGACCTCCGGGAGTCAGCTCCCTAGAGACTTGAGAGATTATTTTTACATTCCAAAACTTCGTTACATTAGTGATAAAAAATAAAGAAACATTTACACTACGCAAAGTGGAGGTAAACAGAATGGAGAGTTCTCCAAGAATCACTCAATAAGTTGAGGTGAATGTGCAGCGTTAAATTGCGAGTTAATATAAACACTGTACAGTAATTACTACCAACGAGTTCGCTGCTTGCTTTTCATTTTAATTGAAGAACTTAAGTGGGGCATTTTCTTGGCTTTAAGAATTTCACTTACGCAAACGAATATTTATTATATTCGATACCGTTTTACCCAAAATTGAAAATTATAAGACCGGCGGTCAATCGGCTGCCTTCCTTGGGCTAATCAAGGCACTGATAAATGGGTCTGTTTTCCAAGCTTCGGAAATATTGGCGTCGAGATTGGCTCGGTCCTCAGGCCAATCCGGCCATCCTACATGGGCTGCCCTTCTGGGTTGCGGTGTGACGACTCAATTTCCATATAAATTTATACTCGTAACGTCATGATAAGCAAGAAGAGACGTTTACGAGCACTCGGACTTCTAATCAGCAGCTCGCGGATGCGACTCAAATGATCTCGGCTGGTTTAGTTAATCTCGTAATACGTGAAACTTGAAACAGTAACGAACCGTCGTTGAACCGAGGGATATCAGTATGGGCCGAGAAATTATTCTGCTCTGGCCCATCCTTGCCTGTTACCAAACAACTCTCCCACGACATTTAACAAAATTTACATTCAACTTCCATGGGGTTTTGAGAGCTCAGTCGCCGTGGTTATTTTGTTCATAAATTCCGACTGATGATAACATCCATTGAATATAAAATTGAAACAGCGCGAGGATATACATAGAAACCTGCTTATTCATGTCGGGGGCTTTGGGGAAATATAACGAATAATGAATCGTTTCGAAAAATGAATCCTGTATTACTGCTGGAATTATCCTCTCGCTGGGAATTTTTCTGTTGCTATCGCGTCACTATTTTTAATACGCCTTTTTTTTACTTTTGTTTTACACGAGGGATACCAGCCGGTTTGAGAGAAAATTACAAATTCTTTTCCATTTTAATGTAGGCAATAAAGAATTGGTTATCATAATTTGGATCGTAATTTGAATTAATGATGTCACGGTGCGCATTTTAATCTGAATGCAGATATTTTTTTTTCTTCACTTTCTCATATGCATACAAATAAAAAATGATTAAAAAATGCAATGGGCCGCAGGCCAGTCAATTCCGAAGATTGGCTACGATTGGAATTGGAAATGAAATTTGTTAGATGCAGTACGAAAATGGGGTCACGAAAAATACGCGCCGTTAGTCTGAGGATAGCTGTAGAACCGGAAAAAGAGGACAACCATCATCAATTCAACGAGAAATAGGATACGTAAAAATCACGATCAAAGTGGATGAAGGTATCTAGTCCTTGAAAACTAAATTGAATTAATTAATCATTGGTTTCAATTAATTGGGCGGATTTGAAATGATATTGTTGAATAATTTCGACAAAATTATGACATTCAATGCATCTTTACTTTCAACCGACAGTCACCTGCAGTATAATTTCATTAACACCAAATAAATTTCACCGAAAATTCAGGCGTAAACGCAATGTGATAATTGATGACTGGTTAATTAACAAGGAGATGGGTAAAATTGAAACGCACAAGGGAGCGAGGCAGTTTAGTGAAAATTTTGAGAGCCGAGAGCAGGTGAATAGTGTAATGGATAAACTTTATACCTCTGTGGCCGGAAAACTATGAATTATTACAGACTGGCTATAATATCAGCTACAATCGTGAAACATTACGGGGTATCCGGTAGCCGAGATAGAAGACTACACTTGGGAGATTGGTGTTGGTACGGAGTTGTGTCGACAAGGGATGAAAATCGATATTGAAAAATATTGGCATCAACGATAGCCACCGAGGGAACATAACATTCGCCTACACCCTAAAACCCCTCCAAAGAAGATACTTGGACCATGTGGGTGGATTGAATGTTTAAGTATTTATGAATCGGTAAATCTTGTGGAAGAGGTAAACTCCTCCCTTCTAGCAGAAACAGGTCCACGTGGAGAGTTTGGTAAAATATCCGGAATACTGAGGGAAAAGTCTCTCTCATCCGGACCACATATTTTTACCGATCGTATTTTAACTCCCGACACCCTCTTGAGGATTTATAACAACCACCGCTTAAATTGCTATGGAACACGAAACATCTACAATTCTATGTATGGTTTTGTTACTCACGCTAAATTTTCTGCCAAGGTGATTTTTTTTTTTCAACCTCTCCGCATGTGGTATTTTTTCACTTTATTTCTATTGTTTCTTTTACCATCCCGAGCGGACAAAGAATTATTGTTGGTGCTGGTGGTAACAAAAAACAAGCGATTACGAGTTTATTCGCGAGGAGAGTGATGCCCCTGGATCCATTAAAAATGATCCTCATGTGGCAAATATTCTGACGAAATTGAGATAAAACTCAAAACACTAACAATCCTTAATCAAATAATAATAATAATTGCAATTTTATACACGCCCAATTAATATTTCTGCAGATATTTTAAAAATAGTAGAAGGAGAATTCTGTGAGAGAAAAATTCCTCTGAATGTTCACTCACACACGAGCAAATTGACGGGAAACTTGTCTCCCATTTTTTTATATCATTTGTCAACTACAAAAATCCCCTGAATTGCAAGGCAAAAAATCAGAATGATGATGTGGAAAAAATATCTCTACTATATTCAAAATTTTGTAGAATTTTCCAGAGAGTAAAAAAACGATAGGTCGTACAGAGCAACCTTCGTAATTTATCTTTAATGCAATAAAAAGTCTTTAGCCAGGGCTAGGTGTACAGTGGGCTCGCTATATGATGCATAGTGTTAATAAACGCAACTTGTCTGGGCTCCGCGTATTTTTTTAATGGTTTTTTTGCCCTCTTTTTGGAGTTTTCCTATCCAAACGACCCTTCTTTCACACAGCAAAACTGCAGTATATTCCTCTCACCTTCTGTATATTGTGGAGTAGAAGGTCGGGTAGAGGAGGGAAAATGGTTATACACCTACGAACTTTTAATATGCCTCGTTTTAGCGATTATTCAAAACGACAGCCCGGTGGCCTGAGGATAAGTACTTTCCGGTCGATGACCCACTTTCCACGACCAATACTTCTTTTTCTTTGATACCTGTAGAATTTCCTCCAATTTTAGTCCATTTTTTTCCAATGCAAAAACGAATAATAAATAAATGATTCTTTCTAATTATCCACATCACGTTGCACCTTTTTCCCCACGAATAAATTCAATACTGACTGCCGGATTAATTTAACTTTCAAATTAAATTCAAAAAAGTCAATATTTCAACTGCATTATTGAGGAAACTAACTGAACTGGAAGAGAGCCCACGGTATCGTTCATAAGTTTATATTTTCTGAGGGAAAAATTCAATTTCTCTAAGCCAGGAGTTCTTTTCAGATATCAAATCGAATTATTCAATATAGGAGAGAAAAAGGTGGAGTCCATTTCTGGGTTACAGATTTCGTGAATCATGCAAAATTGGTGATAACGATGGCACTTGAATTATATAATTTCTATAATTGAAATTAGAATGGGTAATTACAGAATTCGGTGATTATTTCATAACCATATGTTCATAAATTCAAGATATTCAATTGGAAAAAAAATTCGTCCAAATATCTCACCTCAAATGTATTTTCTTGAAAAATCGAGTAACTCCTCAATTCTTCTGTAATCCTCCTGTTATAAAACTCCCATTTCTTTCAGAGTTTATCCCAAAAACTATTGATCCGTCGGCTCATATTGTTCTGCCACTTGCCAATTACAGGCAAAACGCCAACGTCATCACCAGAAAAATTGAATTAATCTCGTATAACAATACAAATCCAATTCAGCAGCCATCATGAAGATGAAATCACAAGCAATTTCATGTGCTCTGTATGGGAGGAAAATAACTGAATCGCTGACACAAGTATTCTCTTTGCCCTCCTCTAAGTCTGGCACCAGAACGTGATCCAAGTGGATACACACATTCTACATGACACCCATCATTTAACAAGTATGCAATATGAGTTAAAGCAAAAAAAAGTGAAGAAAAAAAATTGAGACCATCATAAAAATTGCTCGAGACATAGGAATCGTTATACCTGAATTTTCAACCTGGAAACGACATCGTAACTCCCTTGACGTTCAGTACTTGAGACGATAAGTGGCACGAAACATGGAAATATCACTGTTTTATGTTTTTTTTACAGCTAAACACGTGAATGGATTTTCAGTTGCCATTTCCACTTGATTTATTTCACTCTCTGTTCCTACAAAGGTTTTCCTTCAGTCAAGGGAACGATAAAATTTAGCGTATTCGAATAAACATTGAGCAATAAACGTAAATTTAACAAAAACCAGATCAAAGAAATTTCAAATTCATCGAGTAGATGTATCAAATATTTTTATCAGGCAAGGTATGTAATTTTTTTTTTCGAACGATTTGGCATTATCATCATGAAGGTAACATTGAAAAAATCTAGGATACTAACAATTTTTGTTGTGATTTGGAAAAAAACTTTGTCGAGTCGTCAGGATTTCATGAATGATTGTAGGTCATTTTATTTTTTTCTTAATTTGTATTTTCTTACAAATAATCAAAGTACCCATGTTTAGTGGTGGGCTGCGGCCTTTCTCATCTGGACGAGGATATTACCCAGCTCTTCACGCTTCCTCTTAGCGCGAATGTGCGTGCCCAACTAAAATAAGAAGTGTTTTGTTAATTTTACTTAATCGTGAGAATGATTAAACTCGAAACCCCGAAAATAATTCAATTCCACGATTTCACATCTGAGACTTTGAAAACCGTTAAAGGCAAAACATGTAATCGGTATGATCATTTATTAAAACTTCATTTTCATTAATAGAAAACTTCTACGGCTTTCCGAACGTTAGATTACTTCAACGGTAGAATCGTTTCCTGAACATTTCATATTAAAATCTCTCGCACTCTAGATACACTCACAAAGAAAAGGGGTTCATGATTAATTTTAACAGCTATATCCATTCGCTACGGCATCTGAGTCTGACAAACTCATTTCAGAGGGGAAATGGATAAAACAGTTCAAGGCAGACATGACAGTCCTGTTGAAATGAATGATCTTAGAAGAAAATATTTTTTTCGAACTAAAAGGTGATACGCCAAATTTATATCACGATATTTTCGCCCGAAATCGACCTTCACAAGAAAAAACAATACGTTGAGACCGAAACCATCGAAATATTTCGAAACAACTAGGGAACACAATTTCCCTAGTTGTTTTGTTAGTTGTTTTGAGCGTTTTTTTCTCATACTCCCGGATGTATTCATGAAAAATTAAACACTGGAGTTTTTCCCGTCTATTCGAGCGCATGAAGTGTGGGATATATGAATAAAGGGAGAATGTAAAATTTTGAATGAGTGTTTTGACTTACCCTCCTCTTCAGGAATTTCAGTGCTCGCTTGTCTTTGGAGACCTTGAGCAACTCCATAGCACGTTTCTCGTATGGGGCGTGTCCGGTCACCTCGCGGATCAGGTCTCTCACAAATTTGCTGTGCTTTGTCTGACGCTGAAATCAGTAAATGGCATATCAGGTTTAGACACCACTACAGACCTCCATAATTAACAATAACAATTAATTACTTAATGGGTAGTCATCTGTCTACTATATGAGCAGAACACGTTATGAATTGAGAATATTTTTTTTTACACTTTTTCACATTATAAACATTTTTTTTTTCCAAAATCCTGAAGAGTTGAATTATGGAATCGAGACGGAATTGATATATTGAGAGAGTCACAAATTCTCTACGACGCAATCGATTTAACAAAGGAATTTAATAACTTCAATGGTAAAATTTTTAATGGATTCTAAGGTTATGTTCAGAAAGTAATAGAATTCCCTTACCCCCTTTAGACGAGCTGGTCTTAGAGCCAGGGTTTTCTCCTTCATGCCCTTGTTCTTTGCTACGCGAATTTTAGTGGTTTTGTGACCCTTATTCAGGCCAACGGCCAACTCGTACCTGGGTGCCATCCTGAAACACAAACACAAGCACTTGTGAATTATGGTTTGTGGTTATGTGATATTTTCCAAGATCTGATGGATTTGTCTGATGAGATCCATTAAATATTACTTGAGACTTTTTACTCAAGATATAATAACGAAGCACTGATATAAATATTTTTATGATTTTCACGGATTACTCAGATTTTTACAGATTTATACCGCGTACGAACCTTGGGCTGACGAGAATTCACGTTGAAAAGAACTTTAGTTCAGCAATTCTACGCATGAGCACGCCTCCGATACTTTAGCCATCTCGATTTTTTTTTCGCGTCAAATTAGAATGGAGAATTCTATGTCTTAAAAATTCTCACCACTTCTCACTATTGAATTTCAAAACATTGGAAACTTATCACTGAATTTGTCATTTATTCCTCTCATTTTCCTATACAAAAACTTGTAAAAATAATATCTAGAATTTCTTCAGTGCTAATATCGCCTGTAATCTTCCCCAGTTCCCGCATGGCATTACGAATTTGTTGAGCAGCTATCACCATATCGTACTTCTCCCTGGAACTCATCTCCAGATACTTTTCTAAATACTCCACGCAATTAGTTAAGTGCGTCCTGTGCCTCGCTTGACTTATCGTCGGGTCCTCTCGAGATGGGTTGCCACAACTGCAATTAAAAAGTCAGGATTAAAGTGGTCGGAAAAAATCGAAAAACTTTGCAGTAAAATCTTTCAACAAGATAAAAACATTTCACTAAAAATACTTTTTCAAGAATATTTCAGAATTATAAAGAGTAAGGCGTAATTCATTTACATCGTTTGAAATTTCTTCTCCAACGATTCCATTAACTCTCCAAATCCTTCCTCAGTGGTACATGAAATAGAAACAGCCTCAATTTTTCTCAATTCTTTTTTTACCTCCTCTTCAATTAAATCAGTTTTATTAACAACGATAACACAATTCCTTGACAGCCCATTATCCGCTGAGATAATCTCACTCATCTCTAATTGGTTAATATAATTTTTCAGGTACTCTGGAAAATCCAATTGACTCGCCACGAATGAAGATGCATCGATCATCAGAATAATGAGATCTGCATGTTTAGCATAACCTTTAGCTCTCCTAATTCCCTCGATCTCAACAATATCCTGTGTCCTCTCAGCAAGTCCTGCAGTGTCAGCTAGGATCACAGGATACCCACAAATATTAGCATTCAATTCCACGACATCTCTGGTGGTTCCAGCAATTGGCGTTACAATTACAGCATTTCTCTGAACCAGATAATTCATGAGACTGCTCTTGCCAACATTCGGCCGACCAATGATAGCCGTTCTCACCCCAACTCTCAGGATCTCCCCCTTTCTGCCATCGGCTAAATGCTTCGATATCATTGAAATCAAATCCTTAATGGTTTGGTTCGTAATCGTGAGAATATTACCCTCTAGGTTGTCATCCTCACTGAAATCAATATAAGCCTCGATGTGTGCTAGACTCTTCGATAAAATAGCCTTCCAGTTATTGTACAGCTTTTTGAGATTCCCATCTGCTTGGAGCAGCGCCTGCTTTCTCTGCTGCTCAGTTTCTGCGTGAATTAAATCAGCCAAACCTTCGATTTCAGTCAAGTCTAATTTTCCGTTGTAAAACGCACGTTTCGTGAATTCACCTGGCTCAGCCGGTCGGAATTTCAGCTTTCCTAGGGCTGACATTATCGCTTGGAGGATAGCTGAACCACCGTGAACTTGAAATTCAACACTGTCCTCGCCTGTAAAAGAGGTGGGACCTGGAACAGATTAAAAAAAATTCACGAGTTTCCGAGCAAGTCTTGATTATTTATCTTGAATAATTAAATTATAAATATAAAATGAAAAGGGATGGAAGGCGCTTTCAGTGCTCATGGAAAAATATATTTAAATAAAAACGCTGTCTACTACTGAATATTCATGTTTCTTTAGAAAATTTCAGTAGGTTGAGTAATTCTCGCCTTCTTACTGCTTAAAAATTCAGAAGTACCTTAAACTTTGAAAGAGATTAAAATTTAACGTTCGAAAGTTAGTATCCGACTGTCCACAAAATTTTAATTCAGTTTAATTTATTTATTGTTTTTCAAATAATCATTCGTGGATTCATCTCCCGTTTCGTGACTCAATTTTATTTCTCTCAAAACAATCTCGCTAATGTACCTGGAAACCATAAACACAATCCCTTGTCAATTACGTCACGCGTAACAGGATCAAATATTTTTCTTAGGAAGGCTCTTCTCGGTTCTGGATTTGTCAAATTTGTCATTTTTCTGAGAGCTTCGATGGCAGCACTACCCGATACTCGTACAACAGCAACACCACATTTTCCTTGTCCTGTAACGATAAAAATAATTGTCAATACACTTTAAATTATATAAATATAAATAATTTAAATAAAAATCCCAAGAAAAAATAGAAAAACTCAACTCTGAGTTCGATTCATCGGAGATTCATAATTGTTCATTTATGATTGACTCCATGATAGGCTCAAGAGAAAATGCCTTGAGGATTTTTAATATAATACCACTGAATCAATAATTGTGGCTGAAATGCATTTGTGGTATTTATTTATTTGGCAGAATAATTTTCTTAAAGATTTCGTTATAAGAAGGGAATATTAACCGGAGGACAGGGCGTAGATGGTGGAGAGGGTTCCATTCATTCGAGTCAAGAGAATTCCGCCAGTATTGTGTCGATGCGACGTCAGTGCACTTATACGTCTCATCACTCTCTCGCAATTTAATTTCCACATTATTATGACTGCCCAGCTTTTTTTTCTCAAATAGTTTTTCTACTTAGCATCACAGTGTACGTGCTTAAAGCACAATTAACGCTGATTAAAGTGGACAAATAACCGAATATTTGTGGGTAAGTACTGGGATGGTTATTCTCTCGAGTAAACCATCATGGCGCACACCTAACGAATCATAACAAACGTCAAGAAATTTCTCACGCAGCATTCTATGCTCAACGCATTTCATACCGTTAACAAATTCCAGTATGATTTTTCATTTAGTAGTTGAGCACAAACTTGTTGAATCCATTTTATCTCAGGTTTCTTTGATTCCAGTAGCAAGAAATTCGGCGGTATATTTGAACTTGTTATATCTCATGATACTATGGAAATCGCCATATTCATGGGAATTCCTGAATGGGTTTTCCTGGATTTTGTCGTGGACACGTGTCCTTGAAAAAATGTATGTTCGTTTAATTCTTCGTGTTTCAGCCAAATATGAGTGATACAATGGAAGGATTGATGGCAGACCAGGAAGGCCAGGAAAAATGCAAGATCTGGGTGAAATCACAGACTCAACTTCTGGAGCCATCAGCGCCGAGTCTGAAACGTGAAGCTGCCTGTGACCTTGAGGAATACTTCGAGACTGATTCGGAATTTGACTCGGTGTCGGAATGCGGAGCCAAGAAAAGGAGATTTGGCATTCAAGTTAAAAAGGAAGTTTTAAATCTCGTCTGCGAATGGAAAAATTGCAGCTTCAAAAGTTGTTCGATTGATCGTTTCCTTAGTCATGTGGCGACTCATGTCCCTGACTTGGAGATTAAACTGAATGATAGTGGGGATCAGGTGTATGCTTGTCAGTGGCACGATTGTGGATTTGAAAATGGAATTTCCGAGGAGATTACCAGACACGTAAATTTTCATGCATATCATACAAAGCTTAAGTGCATTGGAAGTAATATCAGGGAAAGGATTAAATTGCCTAAATGTCACCGCGAAAATCTGGGGCTACATGTCTTCAACATCTCGTCCCCGCAATTATGTCAGTGGGAAGAATGCCTGAAATTGTTCAACAATTTCCAATTATTTCTGTACCACATAATTCAACACTTGGAGAGTAATCCCCGGGGGAATAAAGTCGAGGGTGGAGTGCGTTGCAAGTGGACAGGCTGCACGGCAAAATTTCCCAGTGTTTACAAACTGAAGGATCATATCAAATGTCATACGAAAGAAAAAATCGTTGCATGCCCAGATTGTGGAAATGTCTTCGCCTCTAATACCAAATTTCATGACCATTGTCGGCGACAGATTCCTCTAGAAGTTCAAGGATTTCAGTGTTCATACTGCACAAAATTCTATCCCACAGAAGCCATCCTGCGTGAACACATGAGGTTTCACGTATTCAATCACAAATGCAAGATCTGTGACATGAGCTGTGAATCTCCCTCGAGCCTGGTAAAACATATCAGATATCGGCATGTGTCAGCCAGACCATTTCCCTGTCAATTGTGCTCACACTCTGCCAAGTCTCAACAAGATCTCGATTCACACATGACTGTTCATACGAGTGGACCTAATTTTTTTTGCAATTACGAGGGATGTACTTACACGTGTAAAAATGCTTATGTATTTGACAAGCACATCGAGAGGGTTCACAGCTCTGAAGTCCGTTGGTACTGCTGCCACGAATGTCCGATAAAATATCGAAAGAGTTATACATTGACGAAACACCTGGTGGATGTTCACAATCTGCAGTGGCCAAGTGGCCACAAGAAATTCCAGTACATCAGAGAACACGATGGATGTTACAGATTGCAGAGATTCAGGTACGAGGGGATCGACGACGATGCTGCAGGATCAGTGAGCGAATTAGAAATCGATGATCCACCTAAGGAGTACAAAATAAAAGTTTCCAGAAAAAATTCAAAACGTGGAATTCCCAATTTTGAGATTGTCGAAGACACTGGAGAAGACGATAGTAATGTCGCCTTAGAAGTGAACACAGACGCTGAAGACAGTGCTGGTAAATCGATGCCTGTTATCTCAAACATTTTAATCTCAATCGATGAAATGGACGCTTACGGGAATATAATTAACAGTAAAATCATCAAGACTCAAGAAACAACAGAGCTGCCACCATCAGACGAGCCTCCTGTCATATTAACATGAAAATTGATAATCCCTATTTTCCCATATATTTTTGTAACTTCACCTAGCATCATTGTGTAAGGAAAATATTTTCATATAATTTCAACTTTTTCGTAATCAATTCTGAAATGAACAGTTCTCGGCTGAACAAAAAGTTTATTCGCTGAAACTCATATTATAATATTTACTCATAGAAGCCAATTTGGCAGGACAATAAATTAGAAATCAAGTAAATTCATAAACAATGGGAGTACAAAATATTCAACACTTCCAATACAAAATGAAGAGCCTTTGTAATCACTCATAATTTTTACACATCAGTCGTATCGATACAAAAAAGATTAAAGTAGAAATAACAAAGGAGGAATACTATACTGCACCTTAGGAATCTTAAAAACTTTATCACTTTCGTTATTGCTTTTGTAATACACTTCCATCAATAAGAGGCGAAAAATTTTTATCAATAAATAGGCATTTTGCAATTATTTAAACTCAAAACCTAGACTAGAGTAAATGTGTCATTTTTCTCGATTGACGGAAGTTCATCCACACGTTATTGGTGTTATAAATAGTCTGTATATATTAATATTTAAGTTTGAAGAAGGCGGAGGAGAATTCCGTGAAAGAGGAAATTATTGGTAGACCTGTAAATTCTCGAAAAGCACGTAATAATTGTACGGTATGTGTATATATTGATGTGATTGATAGGTAAAAGAGCTAAACGCCAATTGAAAGGATATGTCTATTCGAACGGTTCAAAAATCCCAAAACTTACAATTGACGGAAGAATTCCTAATTCAATCATTCTTGTTTATAATCATGAGTAATGAAAATACTTTTCTCTTAACTTTAATGCTAATAGAGATGGGGTGAAATGGGACGTTTTTAGTCATCAATATTTTGAGATAGGCAGATGATATTTAGACATTTGTCTTCTGTTTTACTTTCAAGGTCTTGTTTTAGGCTTTGAGATGAGACTTGAGGATTTAGAGAGGTTCATCCTATCTCATCCTCCTCTCATTATTCGAATTTTTAGACGTCATGATCTATCAGACGCTCGTCACGACGAAATGAATAACGTGGAGGATTATGACAGGGAAGGAGCCAAAAGACTGGATGACTCTTGCCGCAAACTTGAGCGAGAAGAGTTATTGCACGACGCGATTTTTGCTGGTAATGGTGGTGAGCTCCTTGTAGACGATCTATCGGAGTTTCATCACCGAGAATCGCTTGGAATTGATCGATCAGAATTGCCACTACGAACATGCCGAAGAGAGCTGATTCCAGGACCAGTATCACACAGTGAAGTCTGCAATTAATTGTCACATTTCAATCGAATTTTTAGTGTTTAATAAATACACATTTCATTTATTTATTCATTTTTTTGTTAATTGAGGAAAAATATTTCTTTGGTATAACTTTCATTGAGGGAATGAATCCATCATCGTTGCAGTAATGATGGAATTTCTGTATTGTACTTACATTCGATTCTGTTTTATAGCAACATCGGTACTGCACTGGGGGCAATCGCCGACCCAAGAAACAATTACTAAAGATATTGCATAGATCGCCAGAACCCCAACATACACCAAGAATTGAATAAAATATTTTTGATTTCGCTCCCCAACGCAATTATTTATCCTGAAAATTTAATAAAATATTATCATTAAGATTTTTCGAAGATGTCTAAGCACATGTATTTCTTGTAACTCGCAATGAAAATAGATTGAATTTAATTCGATGAAATTGAAAGAATGATCTCACCATGGACAATGATGATCCATCCGCCTAATGCACCTCTCACAGATCCTGCAATGATGGGCCCTGGGGGGCCTGTAGGTCTCGCATCTAGTGCAAACACTCCAGTCATCTCTCTCCTCGCAGTCATCACTTGCTCCAGAACCACCTGTATGAATATCCGAAAAATCCATTCTCGTCTGAGGTAGTGGCACCACACCAGGGTCACTGCAAATCGCCTTCATGTGCGCCATCATCAGGAAGAGAACAACAGTGTTGAATGACACCACATGAAAGGGGCCCCATAAACTGAAAAAAAAAATAATTGGCTGATACCCCGCGATCGATACCAAACCACAAAAGGCACTTGAATAGCCTTAATTCGTAGAACTTGCTAATCACTTCGATAATTATTCAAAATATTCATAAATTCAAAGCAGACTCTAGTCGAAGAAATAAAGAGATAATAAATACTAACCTATCCTGCATTGTATGGAGAATAATCCACCTGATAACAACATAATCAGCATAAAAAATCGCGATGTAAGTCACAATAATACAAACAATTCCACAAGGGTCTCTCACAAACATTGTCAACCTTGATACTTGAATCGAGCCAAACAACGAACACCTCTACACTTCCCACATATTAAAAAAAATGCCAACGATTGTTTACATCCAAATGATTGCTGGAACTGTCACTGATCATTCCTCCCTCATCCACTGACTCAATGAAACGTCATATTAACGAGCACAAGTCATCCGATGACTTTCACAACAACTTTTTTCACTCGTCGAGAGGAGAAATCACAGAAACTTCAATCAAATATCACGATATCCCTCACCATCGCTATCATAAACCGAATTGAACTCGTAGTTATAATCATTAATTAATTCAAGAAAATTCAATTATTTATTTTTATCAGTGTCGAGAAAAAATTCTTCAAAAACGATTTCGACCCGATCAATCAACTATTAGATTAAATTACACTATCAACTACGATTAGGTGGTTAATATTGACAGCTGACAACGTCGCTTTCAAAGACCGACCGCTCTTCCATTACTGTCAGTATTCCAGTTAATGTCACATCAATGCACCACCTCTCAATCCTCCACATTTTTGTCAAGATGGTCTAATGGTAGTCTAATGATTATATCTGGATATATTATTGCCGCACACTGTTTTCCCACGTGGCATACTCTGGCGCGGAGTTCACGATTTCTCGCCAAGTTCCAGAAACTATTATATTCGCATGCATTTAATTTTCCAAGATATTAATTAATTTTGCCTAGCCAATGGAAAATAGAATTTTTTAATGGTATAAAATACTGAAGATACAGGGAGAAGCGAGTCAAAAGACTAAAAGTGACAATAACAAGGCCATTGTCAACAACAGCTAAATCTGTTACATGCACTGTTATAACCTTAAACCTTTGCCATCTCAATCTTGTAACGCATCACCGAAGATGACATGAATATTCAACTCCACATTCCACCAAAAATATCCGGATAAAAACTCATTGTCGAACTGTTTAATTAACGGGCAAGTACACGGATCTCTGTTCCTGTTAAAATAAAAAGTTACGATTTTATGATAGAGATGTCGTTTAAAAAATCATGAAGAGCACGAGCACCACATGACGGGGAGTTGGAAGTGGAAGAAGAAATAAGTGGATATCAGTCCTTCCTCGGATCTCAGTTAATTAATAAATTAGAGTGATTAGAGAGAGAAAATGCCGAAGAAGAAGACTGGGCAGAGAAAGAAGGCTGAAAAGCAGAAGATGAGGCAGAAGGAAATCCGGACTGCTAAGGATCAGGTGGACCTGGCCAAAATGCCTTGCAATGCGGTTATGGTTCGTTGGAATTTATTTATTATTGTTAGTGTGGGTTTGATGAGGTTTAAATGGTTTTCATATATTTATTTATTTTGCAGGAATGCGACAAGTGCAATAAGAAGCAGAAGAGTAGGGCCTTTTGTTATTTTTGTGGGACTGTTCAACGACTACCCATTTGCGCACATTGTGGCAAGATTAAGTGCATGTTAAAAACGGGGGATTGTGTTGTGAAACATGCTGGAGTGTTCACCACGGGAATGGGCATGGTGGTATGTCAAATTGGTTATTAATTTATTTAATTTGGCAATAAAAATGAAATCAAATGGTTTCAATGTTGCACTTATCGCTACTTTTCTCACGTATGCTCATATATTTTTCAAAGACGTTTAAATACGTAGTCAATTAATCCTTGTTGATTATGATTGATTATTTTCTTACCAGGGTGCTATTTGTGATCATTGTGAAGCCTGGGTCTGTCATGGAAGAAAATGCCTGACTGCTCATGCCTGCACGTGTCCCTTAATCGATGCAGTTTGCCAAGAATGTGAGCGAGGAGTTTGGGATCACGGAGGAAGGATATTCCGTTGCTCTTTTTGCGATTGTTTTCTCTGTGAAGATGATCAATTTGAGCATCAAGCCTCATGTCAAGTTTTGGAAGCTGAGAGCTATAAATGTAAGATACTCCTATAAGGGTTTATTATTTATGATAATATTAATTTTGAATTAATGGTTATGTAAAACTTTTTTTAAAGGTCAATCCTGCAATAAGTTGGGACAATACTCATGCCTCAGGTGCAAAACATGCTACTGTGAGGATCACGTTCGTAGAAAAGGATTCAAATATGAGAAGAACAAGGCAATTCCTTGTCCCAAATGTAGTTTTGAAACTTCTCAAACTAAGGACCTCAGCATGTCGAGTAAGTTTTCTTTGATATATTTTGTTCATATATTTTTTCCGTCCCATATAATATATAACAAATCAATAATTCTTTTGACTATCCACAATTTACAGCGAGAAGTCACAAATTCGGAAGGCAAAATCAAGCAGGTTACGATTCTGATGAAGAAGGAAACAGTTACGGTTATTATGGAGGTAGTAGTTATAATTACGGTAATAGTTACGGTAATACCGATGGCGCAAATGAAGACTCTGAGGATGATGATGACGACGATTATGAGGATGGAGAGGAGGATGAAACATCAACAGAGTCTGATGATGAACAGCAAAAAAATGATGATAAATCTGATATGAAGAAATAGCGAAAATTTATATATTTTTCAACAGATAATAATGCAATTAATAAACCGTCATGGTCATTCTACAAATCACTGCACACTAATTCGGCCTCGGAAATTTTAATAATTTTGCTGCATTCCTTATTTGAAGATAACTGAAATATTGATTATTTGCAATTATTTCGATATCTAATAAAAAGAAGTAAAAAAATTATTGGAGAATGGTTTTCGAAAGGCAGTTCACCAATTGTACAGTAATAATTCGTGATGATAACACTGCATATATCTGAGAATAATCTCAATGTTGTTCTGTCTTATCTAGATGTGTTCTATCACTCCAACACAAAGGACGGATTATAACATTTTTAACGCAATAAAAAAAATTTTAAGGATAATATATTTGCCAGGATATTTTGGATTGCATAATTCGTAAAAATAAAATTGTAAAGAAAATGTTGATTTCGTATTATTTACCAACTATTTATCTTTATTAGTTAAAAATTGTATGACATCTTTTCAGGATACTCATCATGGGTGATTTTTTCAGTATATATATTTTTTTTTTCGGTGCAGATGAAATGAATAAAAAAGGGTAAAAAAGAATAATGGACCTGAATTTTTATCGACAGTTTTATAAAACTTTTATTATAAAATTACACGACTTCACGAATGCTGAACACTTGTGAAAATATTCTGTCAGCATAAGTCTAACGCCAATAAAATAGACGGACATTAATTATCAACACCATTAAATTCTAGGAACAATTGACTTATTCGCATAGTAGACACCATTGGTTGGACTGGAAGTTTGATTTATACCATCGACAAAAACGGATAACAGATCAGTGAAGCGTGATGAATAGAACTCAACGAAATTTATCTGCGCTAAAACTTTGGCTACAATCGAGCATTGGATATTCAAATGCTTTTCCATCGAAATGTCAAATCTCTTATCAGTGTCCATGACCTTCAGTGTCACTGTCATTCACCCACTAACTTACCCACAAATCAATTGTTTTCGCCGGTTTCTCCATTATTTTATGAAAACAAGAGAGAATTATTACCGCATCGCTCGCCGTAACAATCTAAATTGTTCATAAGGATTGAGTACTTCAGCCATCGACAGAATAATTAGATATGAGAACAACAACACGTCATGCATTTCTACAAATGCTTCGTCATAATAATAAAAAATATATGGCAAGCCCTTTGAGTATTGTTAAAGTGTAATCACACGATAATTGCGATAAGTATCAATTGATGGGCAGTACTTGGTCGCATTCTCATTAAGGCAAAAAATTAATGCTCATGCCTCAGCTTTGTTCAAGTGTGTGAGCTCCACGATTTCTTCGCTCTTTGGTGCATCCATTCGTCGCAGCTCCTCCATACTCATTTTTTCAATAATTACCGCTGCTAGTGCATCGCAGACAACATTGATTGTCGTTCTGAATCGATCCAAAAGCCAATCGACTGCTACAATTAGGGTGACATCCTCGGCGGGGAGTCCAACAGTGTCCAACACCATCACCATGGTCACCAATCCAGCCTGAGGAATTCCAGCTGCACCGATACTAGCTGCTGTTGCTGTGATACTTGAGATGAAAAATATTAATTGCTTTTTCACTCCATTAAAAATTTCATCAGATAATGGCTCTCAATCAATTTTTCAAATTATTCGAGAGTACTCAATGGATCATTGGTTGTTGTTAATTATTTTATAGTATAACGGTGATTCTATTTTCAATCGTTTGCAAGTAAACGATTTTCTATTGTTCGATTCCATATTGTGATACTTGAAATCTCTTGAGTCGTCACACCATAAGACCTTCGAAGCTATCTGGATATTTCTCGATATCGGGAGAAGCGCCGGAATGATTTTGAAACATGACACGCACGTTTCGAACTTAAAGACTCAATAGAAATATCGTAATTGTGTGCTCCGTGAGATTTCGATGGAGAGGCGAAGTATAAAAGCTAAGTCAATAAATTTCCTCTGTTGATATTACAATTCATCCTTGTCTTTATTTTCCAGAACTGACGAGGAAATCAATTAGCAGATGAAAATAAAAATTGTCTATCAAGACGGCAAAAATTTGCGTAGTAGCAGAAATTTTCTGAAGAATTTCTGTTCGTATGGGATTCATCAAAACCAATTACAGTGGGGAAAACCGATCATTAACTCCGCGATTTTAATGTACGTTCAAGAAATGCGCGGATCAATTTGTTCAATTAATTATTTTGTTGTTTTCCTCGTGTAGCGAGTGCAAGATAGTACAAAAAATTTTTTTCATAATTACCTCACACCGATGATTTTGCTCCACGACATCTCCACATTTCTGACTTGAGCGATGAACAGGGCAGCCACGGCCTCGTAAAGTGCAGTGCCATCCATGTTGATTGTAGCTCCGATTGGCACCACGAATTTCGATATTCTGGAATCCACCCCCATATTGTCCAAACACTGTAGAGTAATCGGTAGAGTTGCAGAACTGCCAATCAAATTGATTATGCGAATAAATAAAATGTGCAGACCAAGATTTCAATTTATACTTATTTAAAACAAAATATTAATTATCCAATTTTTATTTATTTGTTTTTGCAACGTAAATTCCGATTTCAGATTCAATGTATTTATTTAAATCCTGCAATTGACGTTCTTGCTAATTTATGAATGAACGAATCGACATCGCTATTTACGTTGAGACATTTGGAAATAAAACTCAAATATTTGTAAACACCTTGACGCGGTTCCGAAGGCGGTAACCATGACGTGACTCATTTTAGCCAGTGCTTTAAACGGTAGCTGTCGTGTGCATACGAAGAAAATTAAGGACAGTGTGCCGAAGCCGTGGATGAAGAGCCCCAGGAGAACAGTCATGAAGTACAGTCCCAGGGTTCCGACCACAGCCCCAAGATCATCGATTTCCAAAATTTTCGAGGCAACGAGGAAAGTAACACCGATGGGCGACACCCTGCGAATTAAAACCGATGAGATAAAAATGATAATTTTACAATTACGATATGCAATGATATGCAATTTCATACCAGATAACCCAGTTGGTGATGATCATCATGGCTTCAGAAAGTGCAGTGAAAAAGTCGCGAAGTGGTTGTCCCGATTCGCCCATTTTTCCAAGGGCAATACCCAGAATAATCCCGAAAATAACGAGTCCAAGGGTGTTGGTACCATCGCCGTATACGTGTCCGATTTTCCATTGCAAAATATCATTCGCTGAAAAGTGATTCAATCCATAAAAATGACTTCCAATCTAAATTTCCGAACAATGTTATCAGAGATACCCTTTGCTCCATTTTTCATGCATCAAATGACATTCTTTCGCACAGAGAAAAGTAAAGAAGAGTCGAGTAAAAATGAATAATAAATAATAACAATAATAATTCAATAAAAAAATAGAATAATTAAATCTCGTTTAGGATTGCACGAATTGCTTACCGATTTTTCTCCAACAATTTTTTTCTATCGTACATTTTATCGAAACTCACCTTCACTCTCCGTAGCATTGTCTGGTTTAGTGAGGGTCGTTCTGTACTGTAAAAGCAAGATAAGTATTCTTCATTTTCTGATCAAGTAATGACATGTTAGAGTGCGTGGGTGGCGTCCTTGAGAGATGCTGCGAAAAAAATCTCCGGAAAATAGAGAGCTGATAAGAGCAGTTATAAATTATCTTGCTCAGTTCGGATGATACCGGATTCGTTATCAAAACATTGGGGACATATAAAAATACTTACTTGTTTAATGCAGGCTTGCACCAGATTGGGCGGGAAGATATTTCTGAAAAAATCAACATCAATTTTCTTTAATCTTGAAAAGATTATGAAATACGACCATACGATTAATCATAAATACTAACAAGATCTTCACTGTTTCCTTTGGATTAATAAACAGTGCAATTACACAAGGAAAAAGAAGTTTGTTGGAAATTGAAGGAAAATTACATTGAGATTTCAAGAATTCAACAATTACCTGACTAAATCTAGAAGAGTGTCGGTAGTAGTGACGTCTCTTGGTGGAGTAAGATCTTCATTAGTTTTAAAAAGGTTCTTGTCACCAATATGCCCAGGTTGTATCGATGAAACCAAAATAATTCCGAGTATCACAGCACAAATAGTTGTTGTGGCATAATAATAAACAGATCTCATACCGATTTTACCTTCAAGAGAATATCAATATCATTCGCAATGGGTTATCAGTGTGGGGTTGGAGATTTTTAAATAATTTACCAGATAATGTGAGATCGAGACTGCCAATGGCACTGACAATGCTGGCAACGATGAGCGGCAAAATGAGACCTTTTAACATTCGAAGGAAAAGATCGCCAAGGAAATTAATGTACATGATCTCACGTTTTGACCACGAATCCTTCGAGGCTTTCAAGATGAACCCCAGGGCAACACCTCCAAGTACACCAAGAACTGTCAGTAGGGTCAGTGCATTTGCTGACAGACAACTCTTCCATCTCTTTCCCAATTTCGCCATTTTTTCCGGCTGCTAAAAAGTTTTGCGTGATAAAATTTATTTCATTCAAACTTTTTACATTGAAATTTTATTTTCAATTAATTTCTGTACTTCTCAAAATACGGGAGATTGTCGAATTTGTATAATTATAATTTTTGTAGCCATTAATTAATTCGGCAAAAGGTATTTTGAAAATTTAATTAACTTATTTAATCTCGGAGATACTCTCCTCTTTTTGCCACTCCCCTGCCGAACTCTGCGGAATAAAATATTAATTGGAAATGAACGAGCGTGGGTTTTCAGAGAATCATAAAAAAAAGTGGGACAATTTCGTATTGCGTGGTATTTTTTTGGACGCAATGCGCTTTCGTTTTACGGTTCATTGAGCGCAGGGTACGGAGAAACAATGCATCTTTAACGATTCGAGAAATAAACTCATAAATCTTTCCATGTTTCGTCTGCTCCATTAAAAATCTTTATCTCTAATACACACAGTAGAACAATATTTAAAGAAGAATATTGCACTCTCGGATTTTTGTCTTCGAGATTGCAAAATGTTAATTGGCTGTTCAATTGCGAAGTGGAGTCTGACCTTTGCTTTTGGAGCATTCGAGCCTTGAAATCCCGAATTTTTTTTCTCGTCGTCACCGACCGCACTATCCTCCAAACATATCGAAATTACGAAATCCCTGAATTACACAATATCCAAAGAAAAAATGATAATTGGAGTGGTTCTATCCAGACATTATTTGATAAACTGCCTTTAATTCCGATGTCTTCGTTGTCAGTGATAAATCTGTCAACTGATAAGGATCCATGGGGCTCGGGTATTGAATCCAATAACAAAATAAAATCATTCACTCTTGAAAACATATTTGGGTTTTTGAATACTCGATCGCCAATTGCATCCCATTCCCACATTGTAAATGTGGATTTCATTTATAATAAATTCCCCAATTAAATTTGTTGTTTATATCATCATTAGTAAAAAAAAAAATCGAGGATTTGCTGATTAATAGAGCCTCTCTGTCTAATAATGAAAAATGTGAAATAATAAATTATTGGATACAATTGGATGTTCTATTTTTTTTTCTGGAAAATGCCGAAATAATTCGACAGCGTAACGCATTGATAAACAAATAAAAATCAATTCTACTCGCGATTTCCTCTCCCTTTCTCTATAATCTGATGAATAATTCACCAGTTCGCCCCCATTCCTCTCGTAACACCCAACCGATAGTTAGAATCTCGAAAAAATTTTTCCGTTCCAATCAGCAGAGCAGATAGCAAATGACATAATAGCGATGATTCGCTCACTATCTCGTCTGCAAAACAATTATCCACTGAACTGTCGCAAATTTGCGGTTATTAATTTTTTTTTGCACCAAGAGAATTATTCCTGTCGATTAAATAAATTCGCACGTAGCAAGTTTTACAGTTACTATACATTATATTTATATTTTAATAATTCACGTACCATTAATTTTGATAATATTTCATATTTTCCAATTTCCGCAAATTACTTCGCGTTTCTTGATGGAATTTGAAGCCGAATTTTAATCTGAAATAATTTTTTCCCAGTGTACTAACGGTCGGAGATTTTTTCATTTAATTTCCATGATTTCCAAGAAACTGAACACCGGACACATGAACAATACCGTCAACTGCACTCAAATGGTTAAATTCGCGGACGCATACTGCACCCTGGAAAGAGCGGAAAATCTAACGGTTCTGTTCCGCAAATCTCGACTTCCCTCCACTCCTGCCTTTCCAACACCCATAAACCATTCCTAAGGTTTCAAATAACCACAAGCACACGAATTCCCAATGATTTCCATGATACGCCAACTCCACATAATTGACCCCTTAATGAAAAAATAATCATCAACGAGGAGATGAATTTCGCGCGCGTTTCATCGAGATTCCCTCTGGAAAGAAACCAAAAACTTACCCTAATATTTGAAAATGCACCGAATTTCAGAGGAGTTGCAGAAATTATCCGAAAGCTCGTGGAATTTCAAGCACTGGGTGATTCTTACTCATGAAATAATGAATGGGAATGTGACAAGTACTCGCGATCGCGACAGCTACACGCGAACTGCCGGAGGATACATGTGTGCAGCCGCTGGAGATGTATATTCCATCGGCACTTTGCGATGGTTTGAAAAATAAAAAAAAATAAAATAAAAAATGTACAGTGGGAGAATGTCGTGCGCATGCGCACGTTGGGAAAGAGTGAAGTGCGTTGGAGCAGTGGTGGAATGCGCAAATGTAATGAAAGGGAATAGAAAAGGGACACACGTGGCTAGACGTCTGATAATGCATTGTATTGCTTCAACTCATCTTTTGTTTGTGAATTATTTCATAATTGGCTAGAGTCTCTTTCACTTCTTTCTTCTGTCTAGCCGATTCAGCTATCGACCCCCTTGATCTTGTCGCTGATTAAATAATATTGGAGTCATTCATCACCATTTGAAACTGATTTTTACTACTTACCTATAGAAATTTTCCAATTGAGTCCAAAATTCCGATTTTTTGTGGTAGGCTGATTAAATTATTCAATGAATTACACCGGGCTCCTAGTGATCGTGTGTTTTAGAATTAACGCTGAAAATGTTTAACAATCTTCAACACCGGACGTCTCTCGATATGTAAAAAAGCAATGATATATTAACAAGAAAAACATTTATGATATTAATATTCATTTATTATTATTATTGTAGAGATAAATAATAAAAACAAATTTAAGACAAGAATTTGAGTGTAAAATTGACTCTGTAGTTTTAGGGATTCAATTAGTCGATGTACATCTACTTAGAAGAAACGATTTTTTTTTCTCAGTACTCGTAAATTTAATGTGACACATTTCAATCAGTAGTCTCGAAGAGTATAATTCATTCATTGGCATAATTACTGCTATCAACCGGTGCAGCTCAACGAAATAGGCGTTATGAATGCTCCAACACTTGTTGATGATCATTGCTGCTGAATTATGCATAGATACACATAGAATAAAAAATGAAGGGACTGTACTGCGCAGATTAACGCGGAAACATCCACATATGTAACCTTGGACCAGCATGCGATGAATAAGAGGAATTTCAAGGCAATTACAGCCTCGTGGTACCACATATTCACCGATATTTCGGGGATCTTGTTTTTTTTCTCATCTAGCGGTCAGTTTATGGTGATGACATAAAAATACACGACGAGACCTCGGTGTCTCGGACATCAGCGATTAACAGTGTTGATCTTAATTTATTCATAATTTGTGGAAATTACTGTGGGAAATTGTCACACGTCACGGTGCGAAACAGTTTACTTCCGTTAATTATAGTGAGGTCAATGCAGATTAATTAACTGTTCAGTTGGGTTCCATAGGCATTGGGAGTTATAAAAATTGCAGGGTTTCAATTATTGAGTTGTACGTTTTTCCAAGTATGAGAATAGGAATTAATTTGTTATTCTGGTAATGAATGTACGACTCATGCGAGTTTGTCACCGTACGTGTAATTTTTTTCATTGAATTTCGATTTTTTATTATTACCGACTATAAACCATCCGATCAGAGAGGGTTTTTCACTCTAATGGCATGTGGTTCTTATGTAGTCAATAAAAAAGACAAGGAGAATATAATTTGCCTAGTTATCATACTTTGTTTCAAGAATTAGAATATGTTAATTTGGTATTCTAATTATGAATTCAACATTTATGCCGTATTCATCATTAAACAATTATACTATTGACATGGGATTGAGACGAATGAAGAAGGCCTTCATTAATCATATATTCAACTCTCTGAGTAATTCTATCTTTACGATTGCAAAAATTGAAAGAAGCTTCATTGATTCATTATTCTGACTGACTGCAACGTCCAAAGGATTATATAATAATTTTCGTATAGTTATTGTCACGTAACAGAAAAATAATAGTAGAGGATAGTTCTGCAGCTGAAAAGAATAAAACTACATATTCAGAATCAAAACAGTTTTTATTTCCAACTGGTCCATTCATGTTAACAAAATTTCAATGAGGTATTTGTTCCTGTTTCTATCAGTCTTCTACAGCCACTTCTTCATTTTGATGAAAAAATAAAAACACTAAGACATTACAAACATTAGTAGCGTAATAAAAGACAAATGGTTTTTTTTCTCTCAAACTCGGTTGAAGACTGACCAATGGATTATAATTTCTTTATCAAGGCACGTGTACAAAATACTAGTATTTAATTCCCGTAATCTAATTTATACACAAAACAGTGGACCCGAGTCGCTTGAACGATATGGAAATAACGAGAGTAATCGAGCATCAGCTTTGCATGAGTTTATAATTATAAAAGATGTAATGAAATGATACTGAGTGACAAAAAAACTCGAAAATGTGGACTTTTAGACATTTCTCTTATCAAATTATTTACAGACTTAATCTACAGAATTATCGATGTAATTGAATTATTTTGAGCGAGGGGAAGAGCCCAGAGAGCATTTTTTAAATAGATCAATTAAATAATATTAAATCCACAGCTGTTCGATGACGAAGACAAATTGAATCAATCAATTGATAATAAAATTAATGAGGCGTGGTCCTACTGACAAATCGACCGATGAAATCTCATAACACTAATGCTTATCATTTTCTATACATAACTATGAGAAGGTTTCAACGTATACAGGATCGATGAGCTCTTCCCTCAGCAACCGACAATCTTAAAAATTACGTTAATTGTTAGATTAAAGTACTCTCAACTGTTCCACTCTCACTCTAAGTTCTCTGGTGGTGGCGTCGTGATTTTCCTTTTAAAGAGGAGAATGTGGGGCTCTGGAAGTGAAGAATCTGAATTAGAGTCATGACCAGGAGATATTTTCAGACTCGTTTCAACTGAATGATTAAATAGGAATTTATTTTACCTGGTTGGTGATTCATGTAATGAATCCATCCTTTACTCTGTCGTACTCCTAATTCTCTCCATTCCTGTTCGGACATTAAATGAGTTTTTGGTATTTTTTTGTTGAAATCCTTTGGTAACACCACGTGCCTGGGGAAGAAAAATTACTGTTTGAATGGATTGATTGCTTCCAATTTGTCCGCCGAATAAATTGGAACTTGGAGCCGAAATTTTGGTAAATATTCCTTATTATTTCGTATTGGTGTAAAACCATATGCTGTACATTAATTAGTTTGAACCGACTTCATCAGCTGAACTAAACTCATTTCATTAAAGGTTTAATGAGGTCTCAAGGTTTCTTTCAATGGAAAATATTTTTGACCAATGAACAAGATGACTATTCTGCCTTATTAATCAAATTCATCATTGACCATTTTTCATTGGAACAGCTGTTCAATCATTAAAGTTTTAGATTAAAAATAAATCTAATCGTCTACGAAAAAGTTCACCCATTTTTTCACCCAAGACTGACAGTTTTCGAGATAAACTGAATTTATCCGTTGACCTGATGCTTAAACCCCATTTTCTCTACGCGATTCATCATATCATCCTCAGACCTCTAAAAATAATTCTACATTCTGGATGATGTAAACTCGCTAATTCCCAAAAACCGGTTGAGATAAAATGGGTCCAGAGGCCCATAAAAACCTCAGACCTCGGCCATTTAAACGAAAACACGACAAAGAGAGGACGAGCGCTCTAGAAAATTCTAGAAACCAAAATAACCAACAAAATGGTCGGTAATCAACTCCAAGATATGTGTCAATTCTCATGACCTTTCAAATGCATCCATAACTATTTAAAACCCCGAGAATCTATAATAACATTTAATTTACGGGTTTAATCGCAAGAAAAACTGGTGAAAGGCTTTGTTCAGAGGTTATCTCACCTGTACTCGAATTCATCGTCGTAGTATTTGTCTGAGTAGAAGATTTGACTCTCCATGTTGTGCTTCTAATTATCCCGAATTTTTCCGGTGCACTTGATGGGCACAATGATTGCCAATTAAATTGATGAGGGAGTGTTTAAAAAACTCACAAATTGTTGAAGCACCCTCTTGCAAAGGCGTATTATACTGATGAATTTGAAAGTTAACGGATGCCGCTTGAGAAAAAGGGGTGGGAGAACTGCTGGAGTCGAAATCACATCCAGTAACAAATAAATAAATGCATTTTTTCCACCCAAAATCATAAGTATTAAGTGGAACGACTACCTCGAGTGTTTTTAACACACAATGGGAGGTTGAATGTTAATTTGTCTGAATTGAAAATAAATTATTCTTAATTATTGGAGAGTGATTGAACTTGGGATTCGATTATTACTTACGAACTGCTGAGAGTTTCGTCATTGACTCGGGCAGTTGTGCTTCAGCTGGGAAATTCAATATGACGGGGCCAACGAGGATTGACTGAAGTAGAGGCTCAGTTCTGGGGGTTCGAGTGACCCCAGCGGCATCGTCGTACTGCATCCCAAGAGAGGGAGGGCGCCACACGCAATGGGGGTGTCGTCCCGTCATGAAAATCGAGGAGGTATTCACTGAAATTTGAAAATTCAAAATTTTCAAAAAAGTATCAGGGGGCATGGAAATCGAGGAGGCATTCACTGAAATTGGAAAAATTTAATGTTTTCAAAAAAGTATCAGAGGAGCATAAAAATCGAGGAAGTATTCACTGAAATTTGAAAATTCGAAATTTTTGAAAAAGTATCAGGAGAGCATGACGATTGAGGAAGTATTCGCTGAAATCTGAAAATTCGAAA